GCGTGGGTGCGCGGACGGCGGTCTGGGGCGGCGGTGGCGGTCTGGGGCGGCGGTGGCGGTCTGGGGCGGGCGCGGCGGTGGCCGTGGCACAGCGGCGCAGGAGCGGCCACAGGGACTGGCGAGGGCGGTGGTGGCGAGGGCGGCGGCGGCGTGGCTGGCGGCGACGCGGACGGCGGTGCGGCCGGTGGCGACGCAGGCGGCGGTGGATAGACGCCTTCGTCAAAGCGTCGACTGTATACGAGCCGTCTTTGAGTGCCATCTTTGTGCCCCAAAACTGCGGGTGGCGAGGTGATCATGAGCTTGACACAGAGACTCAGAGAAAGTGCGAAAGCGCAGAGGCTCAGGGCAAGGGCGAGCGCAGCAATGCTGTCGGGCTCTCGTATTGGCGGGCTCTCGTATTGGCGAGCCTGCTCCTCGAACGCCCGGTGCAAACCCTCGTACTGGGTGTTCACTTCTTCGATGAAGGACGAGGGAGGAGTCGACATGCTAATGCGCTGTCTCGATACTACTGCGGCGAGCGTGCAGCAGCGCTCGGCAAATGCAGCAGCGCTCGTTAGTGTGACCAGGCGCATGCGCAAACAAGAAACACATTGCGCCTCAACACCGCTTGCAGAGATAGTGCAGGAGTTGCTCGTGCGGTCGGAGCGGCGGTGTGGTGGCGTGCGCCTCGCCGCTCCCCCGGCGAAAACCCGAGGGTGGGAAACAGATCTTCTTCTTTCAAGTCTGCCGACCTGCTCGGTGCGAGCACCCTCGAAGGCTTCGCCGCCAGCCGCTTTTTCCTGAAGATACAAAACACATCGACAGGGCGGGCGGACGTCGTCGCAGGGACATCCTCCCTCGCATGCAGCAGTCCGTCGGTCAGATTGACAACACTGCCATCACTACGGCATCGGCTTCGCCTGCTGCCACCGCCGCTGCTGCTGCCTCGACTCGTGGCACTCCTGGCCATCTTAAGCTAGGCGCCGCGGCGTGCTGCTCTTCTCTTAAGAAGGAGCTCTTGCGTCTTAAGCTTGGCATGCTCCTGCCGTAGGCGCCAATCAGTCGCCGAGTCAGCAACAGCAGCAAAATCACGAGTACGACGCATTTGCCACAGAGTGCCAGCAACTTCAACAGCAACTTCAACAGGCGCCAGCGGGGAGGTCGATGGAGGAGATTGTACGATTGCAGCAGCAGCAGTTGCAGCAGCAGCAGTTGCAGCAGCAGCAGCAGCAGCAGCAGCAGCAGCGGCAGCAGCAGGCCAAGCGGCAGCGACAGGAGACTCCGCCGCCGCCGCCGTCGCCGCAGCAGCCGCAGCAGCCGCAGCAGCCGCAGCAGCCGCAGCCGCAGCCGCAGCAGCAGCAGCAGCAGCAGCAGCAGCAGCAGCAGCGGCAGCAGCAGCAGCAGCAGCAGCAGCAGCAGCAGCAGCAGCAGCAGCAGCAGCAGCAGCAGCAGCAGCAGCAGCAGCAACAGTGGGCACAACAGCAGCAGCAGCAGCAGCAGCGGCAGCAGCAGCAACAGCAGCAGTGGGCACAACAGCAGCAGCAGCAGCAGCAGCGGCCGCAAATGCCACGGGTGCCGCCGTTTTCGCAGCAGATGCAGCACCCGCACCAGCAGCAGCAACAGATGATGCAGGCGCAGATGCAGCAACCGATGCCGCCGCCGATGCAGCAGACGCGGTCACCGCATCGCCCACCGCCGCCGCACCCGCACCAGATGCCGTTCCGCGGCGGGGCGCCAACTCCCGCGTCATCTAGTGCAATCTCGGGTGATCTCGTGCCCATCAGCGGCTCGGTGCGAAAAAAAGGGGATTGCGGCCGGCCCGCAGGGGTGGGGCAAGCACCGGGGCCTGGTCGAACCAGCAGCTAGCCTCCTCCCACCGGGTGATTCATCATCACATAGGGTGGGCGCAGCGGGGGCGGCATTCCCCAGCCACCCGCCCCAGGCAAGGGCGCCGGCACCGCAAGGGCCCCCGCCGCCGCAGCGGCCGCCGCCGCC